CATCCAGATTCAGTGTGCTTCCGGGATCTGCACTGCGAACACCTGACTTGTGCTGCCCCGTCCATGAGATCTCGGGATCTGTACATCCCACGGTCCCCGGGTACGGTATCCCCCGGTCGAGAGTTGTCTCCTGTCTTCGCCGTTCGATCGTTGGACGCAGTGAGACAGACTCGACGGTAATCTTCAGGGTCGGAGTCCGAGCCGTCGGATCCTGACTCAGTTCCTGAGTCAGGCGCCGTGACTTGGTGGACACGTCGAGCTGGGGCCGTGGGCGTCGGGGCCTTTTGGCGATACTTGCCGGATCCGACCGCCGCCTTCTTCTGGCGGTGTTTCGCGCGATCCACCGCCCGCAGTACTTCTTCAAGCTCGTCTGCGTCGGGAAGTCGTAACAGGGTCAGCCTGTCGGCCAGATCCACATCTCCCAACGTCTCGATGAAATGATCCACGTGTTCCCGCAGTACCTTGGATCCCCCATCCTTGATCTTCAACTTGGCCCGTAGACCGGCCACATTTAGTCGATGTAGGTATTCCAACGGGGATTCATCCGATCTGCGGCGAGCATGGTAGTATTGTCGTGCCACCGACACTCCTAATCCACAGTACTGGGTCTGGAAACTGCGCAGCAAATCTGGCCACTTGTTCCTGGTTGATCTGCCCAGCTGCCGATACCAGTTCCTGGCTGGCCCCGCTAGCAGATCCGCAAAGGTCAGACACTTCTCAGCATCCGACGCTTGATCTCTCATGAGGGCCGACTTGACTTTGCTGATCCATGTTCTCGCTCGGTCCTCATCTTGATCCTTGCCGTGAACTCCTTCAAGTCCGATATGGCTGAGATCCGTACCCTTCTGGATCATGGACGATCCACCTGCCGCGGCTGTGGCTGTTGCTATCACGGCTGACGAAGTGGATGGCCCATCCAGATTCGTCTGGGTCGAACTCATCATGGGAGTTGTCCCCCTTCTACTGACTCTATCTCCACGTCCCGTGCTCAATGTTCGTGGAGCACTCGCACTTGTGCCACGGGCGCTCTCATACCCTGTTCGGCCAGGAAGCGATTCATCGCAGCTTCAAAGTGCCGCTCCAGGGTCCCCGAGGAAGTGTCGGAAGAGCCTGTGCCCGTCTGGTCCACGGGCGGGACGGGATCCGTGAGGCGATTACCTCGAGCCTGATCTGACGATAATCCCACTGGCTTCTTGCCGGATCTGGCTCGATCCTGGCTGGATTGTGTCAGATCGCGCGTAGGGCGTACTGGATCCCGAGCTTTCACGTTCACAGGGACTTCCTGTCCTCGGATCCTCGCCCGCGCTTCCAGCATGGATGCCCCGGAGGGTCCTAAAGTCATGCGTCGTGGTTCGGACGACGTGTCTGACTCATCCTCAGCGGCGGATTCGTAGTTTGAGGACGCAGCTTGGCTGATCCTCGGCGACGACACTGGATCCATAGTGCGCGACCTTTCTCCGGTGATGGA